AGATAAGAGACTCAAAACTAACTGACTGACTGTCTGTCTAACTGTCTATTGAAGCCTCTAATATACTGAGATGGATGTGGGGACAGACCCCGCAACATCCTAATAGAACAAAACTAAGTACACAAAACAATTGAGTCCTCCGGAATGCAAGGAGGCTCACCATAGACTCTGGAGTGCTCAGCTGGATCAACGACGTGCAGGATGCTGATCCGGGATACCTGTATCTGCATCATAAGACGATGCAGGCCAACTGGCATCAGTACATGGAATGTACGAATATGTGAGCTGGAAAAGCTGAACCACAACTTAAGCTTGAAAGGAGAACAAGAGATCACTTACCTTGACTCTGAACGACTCATATACATAACTGGACTCAAAGTAAAGCAATAAGACACGAGCCACACATATAAAACTTGTAAAAGAATGTAAACAACTTAGATCGTTAAGGATAAAATAACAACAAACTCCACTTTTCTTTTATAAACCTAAAACAGCTTTTGTGGGAGGTTCTTTAACCGACAACCACCACTACGAGCCTTAGTGATGATACAACGTTTTACCTCACGTTGCCAAAGGACCATCCTATACCTTGCCATCGATATAGGACCTTACTTTTGCTTAGTGGATCCACTAGCCTAATCTTGCGTGATCATCTAAAAAGAATGATACGACAAGTCCCATGTTGGCACATGGTTCTTAGGGAGAGTTGAGTTAATATGAACTCGTGTCCCCCAATTCGGTGCTCAATACTACTCCCAAAATTACTTTGGCTCATGCTTTTAAAATAACTTCTTTCTTTGATTGAGATAATTACTCAAAACTTTAGCCCAAAGGCTCCTTTGGGGAAAGAAAACATGATTCCCTTCTTATTCAAATATAAAAGCATTTACGACCTCCTTTGGGAATACTTAGTTCCCTAATAGCTTTCTTTCCTTTTTTTTTTGAAGAGAATTCAACTTTAAACTCATGACTCAGCTTGAAACTAAGACTCTTACTCGACTTGAAACTTCACTTGACTTGGAACTATCTTTCCTTGAATCGGAATTATGAATTCAAGGTGTTCGATCACATGTTGTGGAAGGATTCTTGAACACTTAGACGCACTTTGGAACGTCGAAAACAACTATAAAACATAGGTGAATTACTTTGGAACATGCATGAGAAAGTGAGAAAAGAAGAGGGGAAACTTGGCTGAGACTTCAGATTTCTGGTGACACAGATGGGACTTACGGTCGCCATCGACGGACCGTAGATGGACTTACGGTCCGTACTGCAGGTCCGTAGATTGCGTCAGAGATTTTCCCCAGAATTCATTTAAGAAAAAGACTAAGTGTTGACCTACGGTACGGACTTACGGTCCGTAGGTCAGGTCACGGACCGTAGATCGACGCCCCATAACCCCAACTTCTGTCCCAATCGACGGTTGACCAGTACTGACCGTTGATCTATCTACGGTCCGTAGGTCAGTCCCGTAGATGGGGATCGACAGCCCAGAAACTTCTGCAAATCGATGGTAGATCAACCTCTAAAGGGTCATAGCTCTTAGAATCATAATCCCCTCAACATACAATAGGTTTCAACTTAAATATACGACCCAATCATGTCTCACAACGTACAATAAATTCAACAACACCACCAACAACCTCAACAACAACTAACAACTAACAACTTCAACACTTCAATAACAAACTCCCAATCTTTTCTCAAAGCAAGGAATATACTTGGGGTGTGTGGGGGAAAGGATCAACCCACACGGAAAACTCACATACCTTGATAGGGATCACCCCCGACGAATTTCCACAATGGTCTTGACAAATCTCCTCTTTCTTCTCTTCTTCTTCTTCTCCTTCTTCTCTTCTTCAATCACAAAAACCCTAACTCTTTCTCTTACCAAAAATGGGACAAAAATGATCCAAAGATCATCCTAATACAACAATATGGGCTCAAAAGAATTGGCTAGGGAAAAGACTAAAATGCCCTTAATGATTCCCGGACGGATCTCCTTGTCAACTGCCCAACTTTCGAAGGTCATAACTCCCTCATACGAACTCGGAATCGAGAAAACTCGGTGGCGTTGGAAAGGTCGTTCCACGAACTTTGCAACCATAACTGGAATTCCACCTAACTCATCCTGAGCTAGAATTTGTGGCTGTTCAAAGTTGGCCAAAATTTCCAAAACTTTAAATTCTTTCCAAAAATGAAAATTTCCAATTCTAAGCCTCTTCAATTATTTCATATTGCCGGATGTTACATGAGTGTAATTTTATGGTAAGTGGCCAATCTGTCAATGAAATGTGTAAAAATTAGGTGATTTTTCAATTTGCCAAATAAAGTCAAATTTTGGGTTGTTTTGTGTTAGAGGTCTAATCAGCCAAGGACTTAGTCAAAGTGGCCAAAATAAGTTTCTTATTGCACATTAATCATGACCACTCTAAGTGTATGATACAAAAATGTTTGGTTCTGAATTCTCATCTCTACAGCAGTGGACCATATCCAACAATTCTCAGTCTTAGACGTTACGATGATTCGTAATGTCTTCTCTCCATATGTTGCAAATTTGTGTTGTTTTGTTTTTTTCTTTGATAAAATGTTGTTATTTTTCAATCTGTCTTAGCCATGTTGAGAAGGGTGTTATATTTTTATTGGATCTGCTATATATTGATGTCTAATGATGTGGAACTTTTGAAAAATGAATATCCTAATAAATGAAGAGCAAAGAAAATTAAGAGATAATGGTCAAAATTAAATTTGAATATCACTTTTTTTGCGCGTTTTGCTTTCGAATAATAGCTATTTATTTTCCCTACTTGAACTATCATCGTCTCAATTTGAAACACAAATTATTCACAAACAACTGAGACTTATGGGTTTCGAGGAGTGAACGTAGTTTTATAGTAAGTCGCCTGTCAATGAAATGTGTAAAAATTAGGTGATTTTTCAATCTGCCAAATAAAGTTGTGTTGCAAAGGGTATTTTATTTTTATGAGACCTCCAAGAGTTTCAAATTTTTCATGCTCGAATATTTTGATAAAATTAAATTTCAATGACTCTCAATTGATTTTCCAAATAAAGGAATTTCTTCACTGAGATTATTTTTTGATATGATGAAGTATCTTGTGGAATTTGTCGGAATAGGCTTGAAGAAAACTGGATATTAATAGTGTTTTATTAGAGATAGATTAAGATATCTCAACCACCGAAGATGGTTTCTGGATATTAAAAACTCCAATTCTTTCACTTCACACGCGATCACTCCGAAGATGGTTTGTGGATAAATTATTGTGACTTATAGTACTTTTTCTGTAGTTTCAAAATATATAAATTTTATTTTAAATTTTTTGAAGACTTCATGTTTGAATTTTTGGTGAAAATTAAACTATTTGGCTCTTGAAAATCCAAACTATGCATTATAAATAGAGATAGAGGGAGTAATCTTCATATGATTGTTTTTGCAAATAGTAATTAAACACATATCTCTGGTCCAAAAAGAATAGGAAATGCGTTTTCTTCAAAGTTGCAAATTTGGTTGCTATCAGAGAAAATGTGGTCATTCTCTTGTCAAATTTTGGATTGTTTTGTGTTAGAGGTCTAATTCAGGCAAGGACTTAATCAAAGTGGCCAAAATAGTTTTGTTATCACACATTGGTCATGACCATTTTTAATGTATGATACAAACATGTCTGGTTTTCTATTCTTATCTCTAAAGTAGGGACCATATCCAATATTTTTCCATTGATGCAAGAATTGTTCTTTAGGAAATTGAACAGAGAGCAACATCTTGATTTGATGGATAACCTGATTACATTTACTGCTAACACAAACATGAATTTGTAGTTGTAGTTGTAGTTGTAGTTGTAGTTGAGGAACATTAGCTATATCTTCTTGATTTTGTGCTTCCTGTTCTTGAATCTCTCCTTCATTATGTTGAGTCATAGCAGCAGTTTGATGTTGCAGAGGCACAATAGCCATTTGCTGCAGCATCAACGCTTCGTGTTGTAACTGTTGTTGTGATTGAGTCATATTGGCAACCTGTTGTTGCATGAGTACACCATAGTCATGGTAATGAGCCATTTTGTGCAACATTTGTTCCAGAGTTGGTTGAGCTATTAAATGCATCCTGTGAATTATCAGCTACCTCGAATAGATTATCCCACTTTGATCTATCTAGTATACCCCCTTGTATCTGGAAATAGAACAGACAAATGTTTCAAACTAACATTATTGCAATTCGCAAAGGAAAGTTTCAAAGTGCTACGAGCACAACAAGGAACATTATTGATGAATGCAAAAGACAAAAACAGTTTACTTCGAGTAAGCCTGTTTGTATAATAAAAGGCTAAGCGAAGGGCCGGACCACAAGGGTGTATTGTATGCTACCTCACTATTTCCACAACAACCTTATCACAAAAGATTAAAACTTGGCCTCTCCCACCATAATAACTAACTTTGGGGTGTGAGTTAACCAGTTACACCCTAGGTTGTTACGTATTCTTCTTTGTTTGTTCTCTCTCTTCTATCGTGCTCTAAATATCTTCCTCCATTCATTCAGCTCTCTAAGTTTTTTGAGGTGAGTATCATTGATCCGAGAAATGCGTACACATCATTCAATACACACAACATTTATTGTATATCATCAAAATTCATAATATTACATTTTCCCTAGTTAAGAAAAACTTATAAAACTAAAAATAAAATCCAACATCATAAGCTGCAACATAGGAAGAACCAAGTCCATTATGCCAACATCTTCTTATTCTTGGCACCTGAAAATCTGAAAAAATAAGAAAGTGAGTCACACAACTATAATTTTTTAGCGTTTGTTATCACAGCTTCCAACTGATTACTTGCAATTCGTATCAAGCGTTAATAAGTTTTTGTTGATAACAAAAAGCAAAAAACCTAATATATTAGTTGTTAGAATAAACTAAAAAAGATTAGTATAGATCTTAGCTTGAATACCTGAAATTCTGAAATTAAATTCTTCTTTACTGGTAACTTGTCTAGAAGCGATTATTTCTTCTTCTGTAATTCTTTTGACCTCGCTGCTTCTTTCTCCTTCGTATGATAATTTTGTGTTCCAATTCTTCAATGATTCTTGCAAGCCATCTTAGATTTCCAGTTGAGATCAAGAAATATATTATGGATAGGCCAATACATAGTCCACTGCCATAGCCCATCAGAGCTGCTTTCCAAAAATCATTGAAAAATTCAGAATTTCTTTCTTGATCTTCTAGCGCAGACACTGTATAGTTTGTCTCTGACACAGGATCATTGCCACAACCTTTTGAAACGGGGAATCCACGTAATCCATCATTACCATCAAATGAACTGTTCTCAAAGGTATGAAATTGGGGTCCTTGAGGGATGCATCCTTGGAGATAATTGTGGGAGAGATTTAAGAATTCAAGAGACGTAAGAGAAGCAAGTTCTTGTGGTATCTCTCCCGAAAGGCAGTTAAATGAAAGGTCCAATGATTCCAGTACAGATAAACTTCCAAGTGATGGTGGTATATGACCTTTCAATCCATTGTGAGACATATTCAATACCCGAAGAGCTATGAGATCTCCTAGAACACTAGGAATATGTCCTTCAAATTTGTTGTTTGAAAGATTGATTACTGTGTACAAAGACAAAATTCTCACAACTTCAAGCTTCAATCCCTTTGTTACAACAACCACCGAGTCTTGGTAGTAGAATCCACCTCCTTTATAATTAGGTTCCTTTATTGTTTGATCAATAGTCGTCATGCCTTTCAAATGTTGAAACAGACTCGTTGGTAAGTCTTTCGAGAAGGCATTGTTAGAGAGATCTATGATTCGAAGATCAGGAAACATGCTTTCATCCCCTGAAGATCTTATAGGTCCATGCAATTTATTCGATGTCAATCTTAAAACTCTCAGCTCTGGCAAAGTTCCCAACCACATGGGGAATGTGTCATTGAGATGATTATCTCCTAGATCAAGAACTTGCAACTTTTTGCAATTGGCCAAAGATCGAGGTATTTTTCCCTCTAGTTTATTGCCATGCAAGTTGAGACTTATAAGTGAACTTCCAATGCTAAAATTTGTTGGAAGAGTCCCTGTAAGTTTGTTGTTGTGCATATCAAAAACTTGGAGGCTACTAATATTGCCAAAACATTGTGGAATTGCTCCCTCCACATTGTTTCTGCCCAAATCTAGAATTTGTAGTGATGTTAAATTGGAAATAGATGAAGGGATCTCTCCACTGAGATTATTATGTGACATCGTCATAACCTTGAGGCGAATGATATTACCTAAACATTGTGGAACTTTTCCTGTCAAGTTGTTTCTCGACATAAACAACACTTCCAGTGATGTCAGATTGCACACTGATGAAGGAATCTCCTCAGTGAGATTGTTATCATCGAGAATCATATTTTTCAGATTTCTCAAATTGCCAAATGAAGCAGGAATAGATCCATTAAGAGAGTTATTACCCAAATATAGATAAGTAAGAGAACTCAAGTAACCTATTTCTTCAGGAATAGAGCCAGAAAGCTGATTATTATAAAGATTCAAAAGAGACAAGTTGCTCAAATTCCCCAATGAAGCAGGAATAGAGCCAGAAAGCTGATTATTATAAAGAGACAAACTAGACAAGTTGCTCAAACTCCCCAATGATGCAGGAATAGAGCCATTAAGAGAGTTATTACTCAAATGTAGGAAACTAAGAGACCTTAGGTAACCTATTTCTTCAGGAATAGAGCCAGAAAGCTGATTATTATTAAGATACAAAAGAGACAAGTTGCTCAAATTCCCCAATGATGCAGGAATAGAGCCATTAAGAGAGTTATTACTCAAATGTAGGAAACTAAGAGACCTTAGGTAACCTATTTCTTCTGGAATAGAGCCAGAAAGCTGATTATTATTAAGATACAAATGAGACAAGTTGCTCAAATTCCCCAATGATGCAGGAATAGAGCCATTAAGAGAGTTATTACTCAATTGTAGGAAACTAAGAGACCTTAGGTAACCTATTTCTTCTGGAATAGAGCCAGAAAGCTGATTATTATTAAGATACAAATGAGACAAGTTGCTCAAATTCCCCAATGATGCAGGAATAGAGCCAGAAAGCTGATTATTATTAAGATACAAATGAGACAAGTTGCTCAAATTCCCCAATGATGCAGGAATAGAGCCAGAAAACTGATTATCATAAAGATCCAAATGAGACAAGTTGCTCAAATTCCCCAATGATGCAGGAATAGAGCCATTAAGAGAGTTATTACTCAAATGTAGGAAACTAAGAGACCTTAGGTAACCTATTTCTTCAGGAATAGAGCCAGAAAGATGATTATTATTAAGATACAAATGAGACAAGTTGCTCAAATTCCCCAATGATGCAGGAATAGAGCCAGAAAGCTGATTATTATTAAGATACAAATGAGACAAGTTGCTCAAATTCCCCAATGATGCAGGAATAGAGCCATTAAGAGAGTTATTACTCAAATGTAGGAAACTAAGAGACCTTAGGTAACCTATTTCTTCTGGAATAGAGCCAGAAAGCTGATTATTATTAAGATACAAATGAGACAAGTTGCTCAAATTCCCCAATGATGCAGGAATAGAGCCAGAAAGCTGATTATCATAAAGATCCAAATGAGACAAGTTGTTCAAAATCCCCAATGATGCAGGAATAGAGCCAGAAAGATGATTATTATAAAGATACAAATGAGACAAGTTGTTCAAATTCCCCAATGAAGCAGGAATGGAACCAGTAAGAAAGTTCCTACCCAAAGATAGCTTAGTAAGAGACCTTAGGTAACCTATTTCTTCAGGAATAGAGCCATTTAAATGGTTGTCAAATATACGGAGGGTCTGAAGGTTGGCTAGTGAACCGATTTGCTGTGGGATTGTTCCTGAAAACTGATTGATGTTCAAGTTAAGAATGACGAGATTAGTGAGATTACCAATCTCAGGTGGAATGGTTCCCGAGAAATTGTTCATGCTCAGATCAAGATTTTCAAGAAAAGGGAGGGATGAAAACGGAAAAGCATAGAGTGTACCAATGACAATAGAATTTGTAATATTCAACGTGTTTACCCTCCCATTAAAGCATATAACTCCATACCAGTCTGTGCATGCATTAAAACTTGGCGTCCATGAAGCCAATAAGGAATTATTCTGGTTCTTGAAAGTTGCTTTCCATTTCAAGAGGGCAGTTGCTTCATCAGTGGAAGCAAAAGGAACTGTAAAGAGGTACAAAAGAGTGAAAAACTGAAGCGAAGAGAATGTTTTGCTAGAAACCATCATCATATTTTGAGTTTATTGTTTCGGATTCATAGGATTTGATATTGTATGTAACTTATACTAATTAAAGACCAACAGGAAACGCGTTTTTTCCAAATTTGCTAATTTGGCTGCTATCGGAGAAAAAAATGTTGCCATTCTCTTGTCAAATTTTGGATTGTTTTGTGTTATAGGTCTAATTCAGGCAAGGACTTAATCAAAGTGGCCAAAATAGTTTTGTTATCACAAATTGATTATGACCACTCTTAGTGTATGATACATACATGGCTGGTTCTCAATTCTCATCTCTACAGTAGTGGATCATATCCAACAATTCTCAGTCTTAGACGTTACGATGATTTGTCATGTCTTTGTTGCAAATTTGGGTTGTTTTGTTTTTGTCTTTGAGAAAATGTTGTCATTTTTCAATCTGTCTTAGGCGTGTTGAGAAGGGTGTTATAATTTTATTGGACCTGCTAGTTATCGATGTCTGATGATGTGGAACTTTTGAAAAATGAACAGCCAAATAAATGAAAGAGCAAAGAAAATTAAGAGATAATATATGGTCAAAACTAGATGAAGAACGCCCGTGCTGCACACGGCCTAACAATTTCAATTATGATATACTCTCCTTGTTCAATTTTACAATTTCATTATTTTAAAAATAGATTTTTATTTTTATTTGTCACTTGTAATATATCAAGAAAAGAAAATTACTATTTTTCATTACTAACGTTAGCATTAATTATTTATTCTCCAACTCATTTTTCTAGATTTAATATTAAACATTACGTAGTTAATATGGATAGAACAGTAAAATAGTCATGTCAATTATTATTTTTTAATAGGCATGAAATTTATTTATGTTTTGACTACTACTGTTGTTCATAATATAATGGGGAAAATGCATAAGTACCCCCCCCCCCCTCCCTCCCAACCTATTCCCGAAATTTCAGACACTTATACTATACTAAGGTCCTATTACCCCCCCCCCCTCCAAACTTATTTTAAAAATAATTTTCTATCCCTTTTCGGTCTACGTGGCACTATCTTCTGGGTCTAGCGCGTGTTGACAATTTTTTCAAGCTATCTGGTTGGTAGTGCCACGTAGGCCGAAAAGGGATAGAAAATTATTTATAAAATAAGTTCGGGGGGTAATAGGACCTTACTATAGTATAAGTGTGTCTCTGGTATTTCGGGCATAGGTTGGGGGTACTTATGCATTTTCCCAATATAATATTTTCATTTTATATCTATTAAATCCAATTTTATTTTTTCAAACTATTAAATCCAATATTATATTTTCTTAGTGAAATTTTATGTTGCACTCTATAGGAATTTGAATACTTGTATATATTAATTTAATTTCAGACTATATCATACAATTTTTTTAGAGAAAAGTATTAAAGAAACTCATAAATTCGACGCGAATTATTAGTTTCATTCCTGAACTACTGACAACCTTAAAATAACTCGAACTAAATACGAATGTTTAATTATGTAATTAATGTAATTTGTCTTATAAAACTAAAAATTCAAATTCACAATTCAAATGTAAGATTATACTAATAAATATGGATTTAATTTAATGTTGCAAGTTACGTTTAAAAAAAATTGCTAATAAATCCAGTAAGTATCAATATAAATCTTACGTTATAAATGATAATAACCAAACAAAAATTTAATTTCTTCCCAATATAACAAAAACAATTTTTAGCAGCAATAAATATAAATATTAACAAAGAGTGCTAAAGCATTTACCGACATTAGTTAATTGTCATTAGATTCAATTTTGTTATAGGCTTTAGGGACACTTACAAAGAGAGCTAATTGTCATCAAAAGTACATGTTTAGCGACAATCAAGCTATTACCGCTAAAAATATTTTTAATATAATGTCCATACATTAATGTTAATAAATAATACAAATAACTAAACAATGTTTTTAGATAAATAAATAATGGTAAGTTGAAAAATATAAAGGAAAGAAATGATAATATATGTTGAGGAAAGAAGTGGCAAGCAAATTGTCCACACGAAGGGTAACTTTTTCATCATCACTTTAATATACACTAATCATAATGGCAAAAACGTCTACACAGACAAAATATAACAAAACATCTATAAGAAATAGAACTTTCCGCCGAGACAATTGGTCAATTGAAACTTAAATAACTAAAATACCCTTCAAAACGCCAAGCAGGCATGTTGATACCAACATTTCCACTGGCTCTTCTAATATAGTAGATATAGAATATTATTTTTTTTTGCGAGTTTTACATTCGAATAATAAGTTATTTATTTTCCCTACTTGAACTATTGTCAATTCAATTTGAAACACAAATTATTCACAAACAACTGAGATTTATGGATTTCGAGGTGTGAGCGTAATTTTATCGTAAGTGGCATGTCTGTCAATGAAATGTGTAAAAATTAGGTGATTTTTTAATCTGCCTAATAAAATCGTATTGCAAAGGGTATTTTATTTTTATGAGACCTCCAAGAGTTTCAAATTTTGCATGCTCGAATATTTTGATAAAATTAAATTTCAATGACTCAAATCGATTTTACAAATATATAAAAGGAATTTCTTCACTCGGATTATTTTTTGATATGAAGTATCTTGTGGAATTTGTTAGAATAGGTAATGACCCTTGAAGAAAATTGGATCGCAAATTAATAGCGTTTTATTAGAGATAGATTAAGATATCTCAGCCTTTGAGGATGGTTTGTGAATATTAAAAAATCTAATTCTTTCCCTTTAAATGCGACCACTTAGAAGATGGTTTGCGGATTAATTATTATGACTTATAGTACTTTTTATGTAGTTTTTAAATATATAAATTTATTTTAACAATTTAAAGACTTCATGCCTGAATTTACGATAAAAATTAAAGGATTTGGCTCTTGAAAATTCAAACTATACATTATAAATTGAGATAGAGGGAGTAAGCTTCGTAAGATTGTTTTCGCAATGAATAATTAAACGCATTTCTCTAGTCCCAAGAAGAAAAATAAAATAAAGTTCAAATCAACAGGAAACGTGTTTTTATCAAATTTGCAAATTTGGCAGCTATCAGAGAAAATGTGGTCATTCTCAAGTCAAATTTTGAGTTGTTTCAATCAAGGACTTAGTCAAAAGTGGCCAAAATAGTTTTGTTATCAGACATCGGTCATGATCACTTTTAATGTATGATACAGACATGTCTGGTTCTCAATTCTCATCTCTACAATAGTGGATCATATCCAACAATTCTCAGTCTTAGATGATATCATGATTAATTCGTAGTGTCTTTGTTACAAATTTTGGTTGTTTGTTTTTGTCTTTTAAAAAATATTGTCATTTTTCAATCTGTCTTAGCCGTGTTGAGAAGGGTGTTTTATTTTGTTGGAATCTGCTAGATGTTGATGTCTCATGATGTGGAACTTTTGAAAAATGAATAAAGAAAATTATGAGATAATGGTCAAAAATATATGTGAATATCACTTTTTTTTGCGAGTTTTACATTCGAATAATAAGTTATGTATTTTCCCTACTTGAACTATCGTCATCTCAATTTGAATGAAATGTGTAAAAATTAGGTGATTTTTCAATCTGCCTAATAAAGTCATATTGCAAAGGATATTTTATTTTTATGAGATCTCCATAAGTTTAAACTTTCTCATGCTTGAATATTTTGATAAAATTAAATTTCATTGACTCTCAAATCGAGTTTACAAATATATAAAAGGAATTTCTTAATAGTGTTTTATTTGAGATAGACTAAGCTATGTCAACCTCCGAGGATGGTTTTTGAATATTAAAAACTCTAATTCTTCACTTTAAACGTGACCACTTAGAAGATTGTTTGTGGATCAATTATTATGACTTATAGTATTTTTTATGTAGTTTTTAAATATATAAATTTTATTTTAAAAATTTAAAGATTGCATCCTTGAATTTACGATAAAAATTAAAGGATGGCTCTTGAAAATTCAAACAATGCATAGAGAGAGTAAGCTACATAAGATTGTTTTCGCAAAGAATAATTAAACACATTTCTCTAGTCCCAAGAAGAAAAACAAAATAAATTAAAGATCAACAATAAATGCGTTTTCTTCAATTTTTGCAAATTTGGCTGCTATCAGAGAAAATATATTCATTCTCAAGTCAAATTTTGAGTTGTTTCAGTCAAGGACTTAGTCAAAGTGGCCAAAATAGTTTTGTTATTTCACATCGGTCATGACATGACCACTTTTAACGTATGATACAAACATGTCTGGTTATCAATTTTTATCTCTAAAATAGTGGATCATATCCAATAATTTTCAGTTTTAGATCTATAAAACTCTTGGTTACATTATCTCTAATTCATGTAGTAGTTGTCAAGAGTTGATTTTTCACATAATCACTCAACTATTCAGAAATTCACTTTTCTTTGTTTTGTAACAGAAAAATTATTTAATTGTTGTCATTTAACTTAAAAAGTCACTTCATCAATTCAAGTTATAATTTCGGTAGATAATGATGGTGTGGAATTATTTTCAAGCTCTTTTAAAAAATGAAAAGCCAACAATTCTCCGTCGGCCAAGGACTTGGTCAAAGTGGCCAAAATAGTTTTGTTATGAGACATCGATCATGATCACTTTTAATGTATGATACAAACATGTCTGATTATTAATTCTTATCTCTAAAGTAGTGGTTCATATCCAATAATTTTCAATTTTAGATCTATAAAACTCTTGGTTACATTATCTCTAATTCATGTAGTAGATGTCAAGAGTTGATTTTTCACATAATCACTCAACTATTCAGAAATTCACTTTTCTTTGTTTTGTAATAGAAAAATTATTTAATTGTTGTCACTTCACGTAAAAAGTCACTTAATCAATTCAAGTTATATTTTTGGTAGATAATGATGGTGTGGAATTATTTTCAAGATCTTTTAAAAAATGAAAAGCCAACAATTCTCCGTCAGCCAAGGACTTAGTCAAAGTGGCCAAAATAGTTTTGTTATGAGACATCGGTCATGATCACTTTTAATGTATGATACAAACATGTCTGATTATCTAATCTTATCTCTAAAGTAGTGGATCATATCCAATAATTTTCAGTTATAGATCAATAAAACTCTTGGCTACATTAT